CACTTCCAGGGATCCAGGGGCAGCCACAGCTTCTCTGGGCAAACCTGGGCCAGGGTTATTCCAAAGGAAGCAGGAAGAGGCCCCTGTGTCACCACGACGACAAAGCAGAGGCAGCTTCTGATCAGCTGAAACAAACACCTGAAAACTTCCAGGCTGAGAGAACTTACCAAAAAGATGGATCTTGAAAATTATGGAGGAGCTGGCACAAGATCCAACTGATGTGACACCAGTGAGCAATTAGCACCACTGCAGGTGCTTCAAGGAGAGCAAGTGACGTGGTGCACACCTGGCTGTAGTCACTGGAATGACACACTGGGCTGATTAATGCTGATGTGGATTTGAGACCTGAGCACCAACGGGACGAGCAAACGGACACAGAGGCATCTCAGAGAGGTCCTGAGGTCCAGACACCATCCCACTTCCATTGACCCCACTGACTGGCTCCTGGTGCTCCCGTTCCCTTTTCCCACTGGCACTTGCAGGAGCTGTGTGGGAACGGGACACCCCCCCTTGGGATCACCTTGGAGCGAGCTCTCCTTGTGCAGCTCCTGCAAAACCACCCCAAGGCTGCTGGAAAAAGGGGCCCAGGTGTTCCCCCAGGGTGTCACTGAGCTGAGAACGCCCCCAAACCCTCCTGGAGTGGTGGGAGATGAGGCTCTGCTCAAGATCCTGGAGTTGGACTGACCAACAGGCACCAAGATGTGCCACAAGGACGTGTGATGGCACTGACTATCCCTCTGAATCCAATCTCTCAAGTCCTCTTAAATCCAGTTCTCTCCAGTCCAACCAAGAAGCCAAAGCTCAGCAGTTGCCATTTGTGGCACCCTCTGCCTGCAGATCTGTGTGACACCAGGATAAGGAAGCAAACAGAAATGATGGAAGAGCCCAACTGCACAGTCTCCACAAACACTGGAAGAGCATGGATTCATCCCTGGGTTTGCAGCCTTCCACTCTGACCTCCTTCGGCCCAGCACTGATGAAACGAGCAGTGCTCGGACTCTGGGATGGAAACCTGTGCACTGGGAACCCAGTGGAGCCACATGAGGAGTCCTTCAGCCCAGAGGGCTTTAAACAGCCCTCAGGGACCCTCCAGCATCCACACTGGGCACCTGACTTCCAGCTGAGCTGCCCTAGCCAGTCCTGACAGGAGAGGGAGCCCATCGGGAGTTTTCCTGGAACAGATTCTGGGTTATTTTCCCCTGTGGGAAGTTCAGTTCTCACCCTCTGGGCTTGCTCTGCATTCTGAGGCAAGGAACAGGGAGAGGGGACAGCTCCAGCTCAGCCGAGTGCTCTGGATCCAGATGGAAACAGGGATGGAGTCTCCTGGAGTCCTGCCAACCACCCTTCCTCCCCCAGCACAACACAGCGGGTCCTCTGTGGCTCTGTTTGATGGTGGGGGCACCAAATCTCATCCCAAGCAACTCCAGCCCCACGTGGGCCACTCGAAAGGACATTTTTCTGAGAGCATCACCTCCAATTTTCCCAAATCCTTCCAGATTCTCGGTTCCAACATCCCTCACCTGTTCTGATGGAACCATCAGAGGGGAGGGCACACCAAGAAAACCTCCCTCCTCACCCTCAGGGATGTGAGTAGCTCTCCTCCTCTCCTCCCAATGCCCCTCCTCATCCTCAGGGACATGAGCAGCTCTCCTCCTCTCCTCCCAATCCCCCTCCTCACCCTCAGGGACATGAGCAGCTCTCCTCCTCTCCTCCCAATGCCCTCCTCACCCTCAGGAGCGTGAGCAGCTCTCCCCCTCTCCAACACACACTCCTCAGCTCTTAATGAACCTCCCAACCCAGTTTCTCCTCCCTGGGAAGCTCTCTTCCCTGGGAAGCTCGGTGCCAGTCCCCCTGACCGCGGGCAGGTGCCATCTGGACCCGCTGCTTGGCGTGTGATTAGTTTGCAGCCGTTCCCTGACCTATTTTACACAAACAGCCGCGGCTGAAACACCAACGTTTCATTGCACCTGACATGTTTTCCTGCCCTTTTCCCTCACACTTTTTCAATGAAAATAATTGAGCCAGTCAATCACGGGCTCGGAGTCCAATGGAGAAGAATTTAGGCTGGCAGGGACCTTTGGAGGTCACCTAATCCAAAACTTGTCTCGCAGCAAAGACAGTCACTTTTCTCATTAATTAATTAACTTTCTCGTCATCACCGTTCACGTGAGGAATTTTCAGGCTTTTCCCCATGTCCTTCCCGACTCTTAAGCCTTCCCCCAAATTCTCAGCAGCTCTTTCTAACAGCAACAGCTGAGAGAAGGAGGGATAAAGGATGTTTTGGGCCCAGGTTTCTGGATTCACAGCCACTTCCAAGAACCAAGCTGAGTACTTGCTGCCTGCTGCAAATTCCACAAGAACTGATTCCAACTGTCTTTCAGTCATCTCAGGATTTTCACAGAATCCCAGGATGGTTTGGGTTGAAAGGAACCTTAAAGCCCTTTCAGTTCCAACCCTGACACCTCCCACTAGCCCAGGTTGCTCCAAGCCCCGTCCAACCTGGCCTTGGACACTTCCAGGGATCCAGGGGCAGCCACAGCTTCTCTGGGCAACCTGGGCCAGTCCTTCACAGCCAAGATTCTCTTCCTGAAGTCTTTTTTCCCCTGCTGGCCTGATGACTCTGTACCTTCTGTGGAGGGACACATGCTGAGAATGAACTCTTCCCTCCATTGACAGCTCTGGATCAATAAACTTCTCAGGATAATTCAAGAAAACTCAGCAAGTGTTGATTTTATCCCTGATCTGAAGCTCAGTTTCATGTGGCATTTATCACACGGTGATGTCCCCACCAGAGAGGGACAGAAGAGGTGACACAAGGGAAAAGGCTGAAATCCAAAATATCCCTTCATGAAGGAAATACAACCAGAAGAGCTGCTCCTGTTCCTCACAGGACCTTCAGCATGGGGCAGCTCAATGACCATTGTCAGTGAGGGAATGTCCCCTTCCCTGCACCAATCCCAGTTAATGGCCTTGGCAGGGAAGGATCTCTGGAATGGAGCAGCCTCCAGGATGCAAAGAGAGAGGAAGAGGTGAGGGTTTTACAGCAGAGCTTTGCAGAGCTGCTCCTGGCTCCTGACTAAGGTTCTGGTTAACTCCTGATCTTGGCATCCTGAGCCACACTGGATGAACAGCCTGGATGGCCCCGGGAGGAGAGCAGAGCTCTGCCACTCCCCAAATCCAAACCCGGGAGGAGACCAGAGCTCTGCCACTCCCCAAACCCAAACCGGCAGCACCGGGAAAACCCACCAACCTCCCCCCCCACACACACAGCCCTGGGCTCCCCAGCGAGGCACAAAGGGAGAAAAGGGGCAGGAAGGAAGATCCAACTCACCAACATCGGACTCCTTGTGGGTTTTGATGATCTCAGCCAGCTCGAAGTTCCCCGCGATGATGGCCACCTGCAAAGACACGGAGGGAGGAGGGTTGAGTGGCCCCAACGCCAGGGGTGCTGCCACGGGGGCTGCCAACAGCTGCTTCCCATGGGGAAGGAGCCAACAATCCTTCTGCCTCAGCTGCCCCAGCCAGCAGCCCCGAGGTGGAAGCTCCCAGCCCTGTGGGGCGAGTGTATGCCGAGGGCTCGTGCGGCGGGAGGGCGGCCAACGGCTCGGGGAGGGACAGGGACGGTGCCCTCTCCTTGGGGTCTGGGGGTGACACACCAGCCACCAGCCAGGAATTAATCCTGCGGGTCCTGACAACGTGTCCCCCGTCCTGAAGCTCTCCAGTGATCCCGGCTGGAATCACACAGTTGTTCAGGTTGGGAAAGGCCTTTAAGATCATCAAGTCCAACTGTCAACGCAGCGTCACCGCCGTGTTCAGCACTTATCCATGTCCCCAAGTGCCACAGACACGGGGCCTCTGAGTACTTCCAAGGGTGGGGAGTCCAGCCCTGCCCTGGGCAGAGTGTTCCTGATCAAAGGGGACTCACCAGCAGCAAAGCCCCTCACACAGATCCACAGAACCAGCTCATGGTCTCTCTCAGACAAGGAGCCCCTTCCACTTGGGCACTGGCAGCAGCAGCTCCCCCCACTAAAACCACAGCATTCCAGACTGACATCAAACATTGCTTTTCCCACCACTCCACAGGAAGAAAACCCCAAAGGGAAAAGGTTCTTGGAGAATCCAAAAGAACGAGGAAAGAGGGGAAGCTGAACGTGGGTCTGCTGGCAAAACAGACAGAGCTGGTCTGTCCTGCTCTGGGAAGGGATTCCACAGGTGCTCCTGTCCTGGGGAGCTGCAGGACACCAGCAGCCTTCCCAGAAAGGGTGGTGAGGCCTTGGCAGGGGCTGCCCAGGGAGGTTTGCAGTGCCCAGTCCTGGAGGTGTCCCAGGAAGGCCTGGCAGTGGCACTGAGTGCTCTGGGCTGGGGGACAAGGTGGGGATGGGGCCCAGGGTGGATCCATGGGCTGGGAGGGCTTTTCCAACCTCTGGGATCCTGGGATTCTCTGAAGGCAGGTTAATGTGCAATTAAGAGGAGAGACTAAAGCACCATTTCCTGAAGCAACACTTCAACCAACAGAGACATCACCGACCCCTTACATACCTGGGCAAAGAACCCCCCAAGCCAGCAGAACAACCCAGTGCTTCAGAACAAGGTGCACAAACATCCTTGTCACACGTGAAAGAACCCCAGTGAGGTGGGTCAGAGCACATGAAATCCACCCCTGACCCTCAGGAAAACAAACCAGGAGATGAGCCAGAGGAACTGGGGTTGGTCTCTTTTCCCAGGCAACCATCAGCAAGACAAGAGGGCTCGGTCTCAAGCTGTGCCAGGGGAGGGTTAGGTTGGAGATTAGAAAGAATTTCTTTACAGAGAGGGTGCTCAGCCATTGGAATGGGCTGCCCAGGGAAGTGGTGGATCCTCTGTCCCTGGAGATTTTTAAAAAGAGACTGGATGTGGCATCAGTGCCATGGGCTGGGAACCACAGTGGTAGTAGATCAAGGGTTGGACTGGATGATCTCTGAGGTCCCTTCCAACCCAGCTGATTCTATGATTCTATGATTCTATGATTCTATGATTCTCTGTTTCTATGAACTGGACTGAGCTTGGCTGAACCGTGCCTTTGATGCCCCCACGAACCGCATCCACCTCTGCCCTTCCCCAGCACACCCAGTCACCCCTGAGCCTCTTGGGATGGTGTCCTCTCTGAGCAGCACCCACAGATTACCTGGGAATGAGAAGGAACCAGCTCAAGTTGATTCTGGGTGAGAACAAAGTGCTGGTGCTGTGTGAGATCCCTCCTGGACGCAGCCGCCCGCGCTGGGACCATCGCACGCCTTTGTGTGCAAGAGCAGCCCAGGAGCAGCACCCAAATCCCCCCCAGACATGAAATCCAGGGCAATCCTGGCAGCTCCAGCTGTTGAACACTTCCCTGCCCTCCTACAAGAAGAGCTTTCAGCAACAGGAGGCTCATTTGCATCTCAGCCCCAACGTGTGCCGGGGGGATATATTTACCCGGTGACTCAGAGCACACACACACCTCTACTACCAGCCTTCCCCAGCACAAACAGTCCCACTGCCCTCAGCCCAACAATGTTTATGTGACTTTTTTTGTATTCTGAGGCCCGGAATTCGTGCTCCACCTCCTCAGCCAGAGCTGGAAGTGATCAGTGAGGGCTGCAAGAAAGGAAACCTTCCTCCTGCCTTCGGGAAACTAGGCCAGAGCAAGAGAAAATTGAGTCAAACTCTCTGTTTTCCCCCCAAGCTTGCTCCAAATTGTGATTTTTCTGTCTCTCCTTATATATGCACATATATATTTATAAGATCTGCTCTCCCAAAGGTCACAGGCAAAGACAGTTTTTGTATAGAAGGGCAAATGACCTGAATTTGGGGAAACGTGGAAGCAAAAATAAGCAAACTGACAAAAGACTGGAAAGGAGCGTTTGAACTTCAAAGTTCCTCAGATGAACAATTAGCACACAGTTCAAAACCATCCAAAGGTGTTTCCACCAAAAATCCAAAGTACAAATTACAAGTCTCATTAGATGTCTGTCTTGGGAATGATCTCCCTGAAATAGATGGGGAACCACAGAATCCCTGAGGTTGGAAAAGCCCTCCAAGCCCCGTCCAACCTGGCCTTGGACACTTCCAGGGATGGAGAAGCCACAGCCATATCCTGGCTCTGGCACAGGGTTATTTTCTGAAGTGCTGTAACACCTTGAGTCATTCCACAGCATGAGATCAAAGTGACAACGCTGTTCAATCCAACAGCAACCTGCCTATTTTTATCTTCCTGGGCAAACTCAGTCATCTCTAAAGGAAAGAAAGAGGAGATGCCACCAAATATAAACCAGAGATCACAGGCTGGTTAAACAACTTGAAACCACTTAACTGGGCTTTCACCCTGGGCCTGCTTTAAATTAAATGATAACATTTAATTTTTCTTGTTCTGAGCTGTCACTGTATATTCCCATTAGAGGAGCTGTTCTCTCCTTTCACCAAGTTTTGATGTATGATGGAGAGCAAAGATGGATGGATTTTCCTATGGGAAGACACTTCCAGCTCCGAAAGGGATCTCAAAGCTTGGATGAGGAAGAAGAGAAGCTTTAGGTTACATGAAGAACTGATCCAGTAAGAGCAGGAGCACAGAGGTGGCACCTCTGGGTGCCAGACAGAGCCCTGCAGCCCCTCTGTGCCTGCTGTCAGCCCCTGTTGGGACACGAGGGACAGGACAGGATGGGACAGGACACTACAGGACAGGACAGGAGCTCCAGCTCCCAGTCCTGCAGCTTCCCTGAGGAAGGAAGAACCTCAGCACAAAGGGATATGAAACCCATCCTGATGATCCTGATGCCACAGCCAGGATTTCAGTGGTCCTGTGGAGGCCTCAGGTAGGAATATTTCCAAGGATAAGAGTCCTGATCAACCTGGAATGTGCTGTTTTACACAGGAAATGTGAAGAATAGCTGAAGACTGAAAAAATAGAACCACTTTCCTGGTGCAACAACAACGTGACAGTTCAGTCACCTGGAACTTGCCCTCAAAGGTACAGACACTGCTACATCCAGGTGGATTCCCATCACTATCTGCCCTTTGATCCTTAAAAACACCCCTGCTAAAGCACCATTGCCCTGGGATGAGGAAGGGCCAGGTCCTCTGGCATGTCAAGCTCACAGACAGGCTGCCACCACTGCAGATGTCACCTTGGAATGGTCACACAGAGCACTGCCACCACTGCAGATGTCACCTTGGAATGGTCACAAACAAAGAGCACTGCCACCACTGCAGATGTCACCTTGG